GGTCGAAGGGAAGCAGATGCCGTGGCCGGGGGAGCTGGGAGGGAGGCACAACCGCAGCACAGCCTGGGGTTTCCGGCCCTCCCCCTCCTTCCTGCCTGCCACCCTGTTGCCAGGCCCCACGGTCAGTGCCCAGCCAGGGACAACGATGGCATTTCTCCCATTGTAGAAGGGGTTGCTTCTTGAAAACATGGGGAGCAGAAACACGCTCTGAGCCAGGGTTAGGGCCAGGTGTTGATGCAGAAGACACAGAGGCCCAAGGACTGACAGAAGTTTATTCTGGCTGTTCCCGTACAGGGCAGAGATCTCCCCGTTCTCTACACGCCAGCCCAAAGCCACTGCCATGCTTGGAGCTCCAGGACGGAAGCAGGGCCAGGACTTCCACCTCCCCCTGTCCCCCTTCCTTGCTGCGAAGCCTGGGGATGATGCAGAGAGGGGTTCCCCAAAGATCGCCACCACTGCTCAGGCTCCCGTGGGTGTACCGTGGTAGTGTGGTGCTGTGGTCGGGGTTCGCAAAGAGCCACGGGAGAGCTGTAAGCAGGACGGCAGGTCCTCCTGCCGCAGGTGCTTAGCCTGACCCCAACCCCAGGTCACTCAGGTGCAAGTTTCTTCTATCTTCGCGCCATGGAAGAAACCAGACCTAAAGAGACGCGGGTGGAACCAGGCCAAGAGGGTTTCGTGGTTCAGGGGCCGGGACAGACCGAGAGCTGATGAGTTTCAGACACGTTCCACCTCCAAAGCATGGCTCCCTGCCCGCTCTGCCACAGGGGAGGTCTGGGCGCTGTGTCTTGAGTACATCCACGGGTTGGGTAAACCCTGACCCTCCGGAGGGCCCCGGGAGGGTGAAGAGCAGCAGTGGGCACAGCGTATTGCCCAGGTACGGCCCGGCGCAGGAGGCAGGCTGGTGGAAGATGTGCAGGTGACAGGGTGCCAGGGAGCCCCCGGCGTGGTGCTGCGGGACACAGCCCTCGGGCAGCCGGCCCCAGCCCCGGGAACAGTCGCTCCAGGGCACCGCGTTTGCCCAAACAACTTCATTAACTCTTTTCCGGGCGGTTCCTGTTCAGCACGGCCCGAGGGGCGAACTCCAGCTTGTCCTTCAGGCTCACCACCTTGGTCAGGTCCTTGCCCGCGATCTCCTGCAGCTTGCGGTCCTCCCGCTGCTCCGAGATGCTCTTCTCCTCCTCGGCCGCGGGCGGGGGGTCCCCGCGGAGGAACCACTCCAGGTGGTAGCCCACCAGCACCACCACGAAGGA